CAAAGAACTCTTAAAACTTAATAAGAAAACAATCCAATTAAAAAATGGGCCAAAGATCGTAACTGACACCCCACAACAGAAGATATGCAAATGGAAAATAAGCACATGAAAAGACGGTTAACATCATATGTCATCAGGGAAATGCAAATTAAAACAAAAATGTGTTACCAACAATAAGATACCACTACACACCTATTAGAATAACCAAAATCCAGCACAATGACAGCACCAAATGCTGGTGAGGATGTGGAACAATAGGAACTCTTGTTTATTGCTGATGGGAATGCAAAATGGTATAGACGTCTTTAACAGCAGCTGGGCAGTTTCTTAAAAATTATACATACTCTTACATTCTCTTACAGCAGTCACACTCGTTATTTACCCAAATCAACTGAAAGCTGATTTCCATACAAAACTTACACATGAATATTTACAGCAGCTTTACTCATAATTGCCAAAAGTTGGAAGAAACCAAGATGTCTTTCAGTAGATGAATGGATAGATAAGCTGTAGTACATCCAGACAACAGAATATTATTTAGCGCTAAGAAAATGACCTATCATGCCATGAAAAGATATGGAGGAAACTTAAATCTGTATTAGTAAGTTAAGCCAACATGGAAAGACTGTATGATTCCAGTATTCCAACCACACTGTATGATTCTAAGTATATGACATTCTTGAAAAAGCAAAACTAGCAAGGTAGTAAAAAAGATTAGTGGTTGCCAGGAGTTGGGGCAGGAAGGGATATATAGGTGTAGTAGAAAGATTTTTAGGGCAGTGGCAATACTCGGTATGACACTACTTTGGTGGATTCATGTCATTATACTTTTGTCAAAACCTATAGAATGTACTCCACCAAATGTGAACCCTAATGTAAACTACAGACTTTGTGTAATAGTGATGAAATTTATTGATTGCAGCAAATGTACCACTGTGGTGAGCGATGTCCATGTCCGTGGTCGGGGAGGTTGTATGTATGGCAGGGGCAATAAGAGATGTATGGAAATTCTGTGCATTTTCTGCTCAATTTTCTGTGGACCTAAAAGTTCTCCAAAAAAGAAAAGCTTACTAATTTAAAAAATCAATTTTTCCCCAAATTTGATAAAAGTGATAGACTCAGAGATCTGATAAATTCAACAAAACACAAAAACTAAACCATGAAAATTCTAATAAAATTGCTTCTAACCAGTGATAAGGAGAAAATCTTGAAAGCACTCAGAAAAAATAGATATATTATGTACAGACACACAAGATAAGAGTAAAAGCAGACTTTTTTTAGCAGTAATGAAAGTCAGAAAAAAGTGAAGCAACATCTTTAAAGCATTGAAAGAAACAAAAACCTATCTATATAGAATTCTATATCCAGAGAAAACATCTTTCAAAAAGAAAGATAAAATGAAGCCTACTTCAGAAATACAAAAGCTGAGAGAATTGATCAGTAGCAACTTGTGCTTAAAGAAATGATAAAGGAAGTCTTCAGGCGGAAGGAAAATGCTGCTAGACACACATGTGAGTACACATAAAGGAAAGAAAAACACTGGAAATGATAAAGTGGATAGATAAAAGACTTCTGTGTTTTTCTCTGTTATTTAAGATCTCTTTAAAAATAGAGTGTTTCAAATTAACAAGAGTTAGTAATAAGAGTTAATGAGTTGCGGAGTTTATAATATATGTAGAAGTAAAATGAGTGACTACAATAGGACAAGGCTGGAAGAGGAAAATAGGTAGTGAGCTACTGCTCTTTTTACTGTTTATAAAGTAGATTAACTTTAAATGGGTTTGGTAAAGATTTGTGAAGCTGGACACCAAATGTATGAACTATAGGAAAAAAATCATTAAATTCTACTTCATTGAAATTAAATTCTTTGTTTTCCAAAGACATTGTTACAGAAATGAAAAGGCAAGTTATTGACTGGGAAAAATATCTTCAAAACATATATGACAAAGAACTTGTATCTAGACTACATTGAGAACTCTTACAACTCAATAACACAAAAATCCAATTTCCAAATGGCTAAAAGATTCGAACAGACACTTTACCAAAGAAGATATATGGATATTAGATTAGTGCTTTCAAAGTTGCTCAATATCAATAGTACTTCATGGAAACGTAAATTAAAATCACAAGTAGCTACTCATACATACCCTCCAGCATCACTAATATTAAAAAGAATAATTATTTCAAGTGTTGGCAGGAGCACAGAAGTGGTACTCAATACATTTCTGGTGGAAATGTGACATAGTAAGCCATTTGAAAAAGCTTGCCAATTTCTTCAAAAGCAAAACATACACTTAAGTAAATGACCCAGACATTTTCCTCCTAAGCATTTATCCAAGAGAAACGAAAGAATTTATCTATGAAAAGATGTACATAAGTATTTATGACAGCTTCATTTATAACAGCTGAAAACTGGAAACAATCTGAATATTCATCAAGTGGTGAAGGGATAAATCTTCCATACAATAGGAAACTAATCAATGATAAAAAAGACTGAAATTCTAAAACATACAACACCATAGATGAATTTCAAAATGATTACACTGCATGAACGAAATCAGATGCTGCTCCCTTTCAAAAATATGTAAATATTTTATGATTCCACTTATATAAAACTTTACAGAATGAAAACCAGTCTGTAGGACATAAAGCAGATCAATAGTTGCCTGGAGAAGCGAGGGGGTCATAGAAAGGTGGAGAGAAGGATAATCAAAGGAACAAAGAAACATTGAGGTGATAGACATATTTATCATCTTGATTGTAGTGATCCTTTCAGGAGTGTATACATATGTCAAAACTAATCAAATTGTAGTCTTTCAATAGGTGTGGTTTCCTATATGTCAATTATACCTCAATAAAGCTGTAAGTGTTTAGGGTGCCAGACAAGACTTTCATACAGTGGGGCGGTCCTTCCAAAATACAGCTACCTGAATACATTGTAAAATGCCCCTGAATCTGGTTAGCTTCTGCGTTGGGTTGGACTTTTCAGGTTTAAAACAAGGGATGCCCGGTGAGAGAGCTTCCTTGTAGGGAATACCAAGATTTTCTGTTTTTAGCATTGTTCAGGATTTGACTTTTTGAAGCAATCTATTGTACTGTTTAGTTTAATATGCACTACATCCCAATGCATTGCAATATAGATTATCAGAAGGAAATAAGGAGGATTATTTGTAGATTAAACAGCAAGGTAACACAATATAGCTACCAGGCACTAACTTTAATAGCCATGACTTAAATCCTAGAACATAGATAATAAAGTGTGAGAAACAATTTAGGGCCAAAAATTATGAAGAATGCTTTATTAGAGCCACATATAAAATTAATCTCATTTAAAAGTATCTGAGTATGTCCATATGGAGTCACAATATGACAGTTGATACTAAGGTGGAATAAAGAACGAATATTCTTCTGTTTGGAGTAGATTTATTTTATTGAATAGTTTTTGCAAATAAGTTCTAAAATATTATAATAATAATAATTGTAGTATCTTATGCTGTTCTAAGAAAATTATGTTTTGTTACCTAGGAGAACATACTGAGGGGAGAGTTAAGCCTTTGTTGCTTAACTTTACTAGTGGAACAAAACTTAAGGAGGGACACCTTGAATTCAGCAAGTGAAACTGGAATGCTATTTTCTTCGTTTTATTATGTCCCATGTTTTCCAGAGTCTTCAGAGTTACACATTACAATCTTAAATCCTCACAAAATAAAATGAACAAAGAGCTCCTAAGAACACAGGGAAAAACCTAAGTGAAAAATCACGTGTGACCATGAAAATTATTGTGGGTATTGTTGCTATTAAAAAATGGGATTAGAAGTAAATAAATGTAGTATATTCCCCAAGACTATTGGGAATGTTTATAACTGCCTTAAACACACACACTAAGTATGAAATAAGTTATTCAGTTTGTTGTATGAAATTAGACAAATTAAAAATTTTTACAAGGAAAATAACCACAACACTACCATGTACAAATCTTAAATATTTTGTATGTATTTCACCCTCGTATCATATATGTCATGCCACGAGCTGTGGGTTTATGGCAACTGAAAGCAAGCGCTTCTGTACAAAATATAATTTGCTTATGTTGATTTTATTAATTTTGATATTTGATGAAAACATATATTTTTAATAGAGAAAACATTGGGGTTGCATAAGAAAGACTCATTATATTTTTGGAAATTCTCTGTGCAAATTTATGGCACAGGCCAAAAATCTACAAATGACTTAGTAGTGAGACATGTTTTCTGTGTAAATCTATACAGTAATCTCATGTAGTTGAGAACATATATCTTATTAAATCAACCTTCATAAAATGACTCTCAGCTATTTCTTATAAGAGATGCAATCAGGGACCTTTACTGGAAAATTTTTATCTCATTAAAGTAAATTATATCTAACTGGCTTAAATTTTATCAAGGGAATTTATAAGATCTCTTAACTTTGTTATAGAACATCCTTAAAATGCATTTTTAATTATAAATATATACTCAAGAACATAACAATGAATTCATGGAAAATTAAAGACATATCAAAAACACATTTTAAGGTAAAAACTGTAATGTGCTCCATGGGATAAAACTCTCTTCCTGCCTACCATGATATTGAGTACAATGTTGTCCAAATATATAGGCAAGTACAGTGTAAACAGGCTTGCTTTGACACCACGAATTGTATCAGTGTTCTAATCATTTATCACCTCCATGGATATGTTCAGAAATAATGGCTAATTAAACAATATATTCACACAGAATATTGCAGAAGATTTTAATGAGGCAGAAAAATGTCAACATCTCAATGGGTGATAGGTTTTGTTCAGAGCAGCTGGAAGTTATGAATTGCCAATTAGGAAAACTTTGGTAATCTGGGTAATCTATGTTGCCTGTCCAGGATTTATCTGAGTTTGGCAGCCATAAATTTGGAAATAGAATAATTACCTGGAGGGTTCCCTTATGTTGTGTAATATATTTGTATAAAATTTCCAATTTCATGTTTTACAGATTAAATGAACCAGCATAAAACTCAACATTCAAAAGGTGAATATTATTTTATTAGTAAAACTCACTATTTTGGTTTATCAACACTTTTTTTTTCTTTCTGCACAATATAAGGTGAAGAAGAGAATTAAAATGAACAGTTGACCAGTTAATTTAATCAGTGTACACAGTTTAGATAGTTAATCTAGGTTTCAAAACAAATCATTTTCTCCCAAAGAAGTGTGTGGCTTGATGGTTTGTATGAGAAGTAGACTGTATAAATGTAAAATAAATTAAGTTTGGGTTGTTTGAACCTGATTTCACCAGTTGTTCATTTAACAACCAGTTTTGCAGAATTCACATGAATAAATGTGTGCACTGAAGAATTTACCTGTAAAAAAGTGTGTAAAAATTTCTTTACACGAATAAATTATTTTGGTAAAAAATTTTCCTAAATGGAGAATAAGGGCATCTGGAAAGTTTTGCTTCTGTGATGGCATTTTATGAGTACAGCTCTTAACATTGCAACTAGACCCATAACATTTTTGACACTTTTAGACCTGGAAGAGATCTTATTTGATTTCTATATAAAATTCTGGTCTTAGTTTACCAGAAGGTAAAGATAGAAGGAACAGATGACTATTTGGGAGGAAAGTACATTAATCATAATATTTAGAAAGACAATTTATTCTGATAAGCTAAATTGCCATAATTAAAATGCATAAACTCTGACATTAAAATTCTGCTCTCCACATGGAAAGTATTTCTGTCCTTGGACCTTGATCCAGTTGTTACAAAAGAATACTATTAAAAGGTGGTAATTACCTACAATGCTTTGTCTCGGTGTCTATTTTTTACCCACTGAGGGAATGGCTCCAGTGTCACCTGAGAATAAAACCTCTCTTGTTTACTAATGAGGTCTGTATTTTTCCCTTTTGTAGCTCTCCCCCTTACATATGTGGCACCTCAAATTTTTTATGCTTCCATGCTATCCTGCTGTGAGAAAGAATAGTAATTACATCTAATTAGAAAAGATTAAAATGCTATGACTCATGGAAATAATGAAACTTGATTATGTTTTATATAATGCATAAATCCCAAACCTACATTTTACACTTGAAATTAGCATACAACCTGATCAGCAGCATAAAAGCAGTGTTGTGAATGTTCATTACGGTGCTTGTTTTGCTAACTGCACTTTCTGTCATGTCTCAGCCTTATCATCGTGGATCCATCTCCCCTTAGGCAAAAAGAGAGAGGCCAGTTGGCTTTTTTCTTAAAACCTGCATTTGCTTTATAACATATTAATTTTATTTATTTATGGTATGTTATAGTAGCATGTGGGAATGAGATATGATATATGGTTAATAAAGAACTAATGAACACACAAACACCTTCGTTTTCCCCTTTAGCAGGCCCCAGGACCAAAACATTGTTTTCAATTTCATCAAGATTTTCCAGGTTAAGAAAGGTAAAATGCAACCTAGAGATGATTGTTTTCTTTTAAACATGAGGATTTTTTTTTTTTCTTTTTCTGCATCATGGACTCAGCGTGAATGTTCATTTCAATTATAGTCCAGTTCAGAAAGATCCCTCGTGCATGCAGGCATTGTAGGAGAACATATGCAGTTTTATAATGGAACAGAGGGAGACATTACGTGGAGATAGATTTGTGCCATAAACACATAGGGGCATAAGGGATTGTCTAGATAGAAAGGGAAAAAGAAGCAAACCTAAAAACATCAAAAGGATTGAATTGTAACTCCAGAAGGCAAGAAGTTCTCATTTATCTATCTACCTATCTGACATGAAGATCATAACTTTCTGAAATATAATGTATTAAATGTTTTTTAAGTCCAATGATAAGATAATTCTGATAATAACTTGGCATAGCATGAACATTGCCCCATTAATCTCAATCAGATACCCCCTTGGAGAGATAAGCTGCTTTTACTCCACTAGTAGGTACGTGTGATCTGCAGCCATGTGACGGGAACCAAGTCTGTGGTTGTGATAACTATGAAAATGAATAAGATTAGAGACTAGGAGGTGTATTTGTGTGATGGGACAGTGTTTCTGGGATCTGTTATCAGTATGTAATGAAAAAAAGTTATTAAGACGTCTATTATCCACTGTGTGGGAACAAATAATATCAAAAGCATGGAAAATGAATGTTTGTACAAAGATTTGAGTTATCTTTAGGGGCAAACATTGATGATATTACTCCACTCTGAATGAAAAGAGGAAAATATTGTGCCTTCATGAAACTGGGTAAAGGCCATTTTAAGAAGGAGCAATTCTTCTAATGTAATATTTGTATGCTTTTTCTGTTGCTCTTTTATATGGGGTTTCATTGGAAATAAATGCATTTCATAATCACAAACCAAGATTAGCATTTCAAAATGGATCGTGTGAAGGCCATAATACAGGAATAACATATTATTCTATTTCAGAAATAAAATGAGTAAATATTTGGTCTCAAATACTTTCATATAAAAGTGGTCAGAGTTAAAGTGCTTCCTATAGCATGTATTTACTTACTTGGACCTCTCTCAATATTCTCCCTTTTATGTAAATTTCAAATCCATTTTATGGTCAGTCATTATAACCATTCCTTTACAGTCTTGACTCCCTTGTACCTCTCTTGCTTTATAGTACTCATCTGACAAAACTACAGTGCTGCCAAAATCCAACTCTTACCCTGTTCTTCCTCTGTACCTGTGCAGATGGATGAGGCTAGGGAAAACAAACAATAAAAAACACAACTCTGTTTCCCTTCCCAGGGACCACATCGGTCAAATGCTCATGCCTGGGTCCAGTCCTCTTTCCACTCCTATTCAACGTTCCAAACCTCCTCCCTCCTCAAACCTCCAAATTTTATTCTATCCCAGATGATTACCTTGCTTCCTGTTTTCCTGAGAAAACTGAAGAATCAGAAAAGATATCCCACAGCCTCTCTGTACCACTCATTGCCGCCTTTTGGTAAGATAAACTATCTGAGTTGCTTTGCAAATTCTGTCCTTTAAATTTTTGTGCATGTTAGTTCCATCTTACCTACTCAAAGACATGTCCTCAACAATTCCCTCCCTTTCTCCTATATCATAAAATTTCCCCTCTCTACTGCATCTTTTTTTTTTTTTTTTTTTTTTTTTTTTTGAGACAGAGTTTTTCTCTTGCCAGGGTTGAGTGCAATGGCATGATCTCAGCTCACTGCAACCTTCACCTCCCGGGTTCAAGCGATTCTGCTGCCTCAGCCTCCCAAGTAGCTGGGATTACAGGCATGCGCCACCACGTCTGGCTAATTTTTTGTATTTTTAGTAGGGACGGGGTTTCTCCATGTTGGTCAGGCTGGTCTTGAATTGCCGACCTCAGGTGATCCGCTCACCTCGGCCTCCCAAAGTGCTGGGATTACAGGAGTGAGCCACCGCACCTGGCCTCTACTGCATCATTTTTACAGGAATGCACTACTCTTATAATTTTACCAATCTTATGAAATTTCTATACTTCATTTTCTCTACCAGTTAACATCTTATTTCTTTGCTCCCCTTTATGGTAAAATTTCTTGAACACATGTAATGTACAATTCTGTACACTAAATCTTTCCAACAGAGCAAATGTGTGTTTGCTCCAGGCAACTTCCATCTGCTGAGCTCCTGTCTTAGTCAGTTCAGGTTGTTACAACAAAATACCATGAGCTGTGTGGCTTATAATCTCTAGAAATTTAATTCTTACAGTTCTGGAGGCTGGGAAGTCCAAGATCAAGATACCAGCAGACTCATTATCTGGTGAGGGCCCACTTTCTGGTTCATGGATGGTGCCTTCTCACTATGTCCTCACATGGTGAAAGGGGTGAGAGGTCATTAGTGGTTCTTTTATAAGGATGCTAATCTCATTCATGAGGTCTCTGCCCTCATCACCTAGTCACCTCCCAAAGGGTTCACCTCCTAATAACACCTCCTTGGGGGTTAGAGTTTTAATATATGAATTTTGTGGGGAGACAAACATTCAGACTGTAGCAGCCTCTTGCCCACATTTAGCTTTGGTTCTTATATCCACACTATCTGTAGAAGGCTGATGTGTCGGGGAGAAAGGAAAAATAAACATTATATAACATAATGTTTGGATTGTGTGGTGTTTCCACACACTTGCCCTATAACCTGATTGTTAACAGATTCGATCTCTTTCTTCTTACTTTTCATTATATGTTTTAATTGATTCAATAAAGCATGAACTTTGAACATCATTTGGTTGTGAGCCTTCCTGTTTCATAATATTTGGCATAGCTGCCTTGTGCTGTGCTTGGAGGCTATTGCCGCTTTAGACTGATTTCTCTCCTGTAAACAAATGAACAAACTACCCTAATAGAACCTTATTCTACCGGATATTTCATTGTTGAAGGGCCTTAAGGCTTGCTCCTTTATACTTCTCTGTATCTACACTCATTGCCTTGGTGATTTCATTCATTCTTGCAAGTTTAAGAACCATCTATATACTGATGCCTCCTAAACACATAGTTGCAGTCCAGACTCCTCTATTGTACATTCTGTCTTCCTATTATACATCTTTTCAGTGTCTAGTAAACATCTAAAACCCTCCATGTCAACTGACTCCTAATCCTTATGCAAATACCTATTTGACCTATAGCCTTTCAATCTCAATTAATGGCAACTGTCTTTTCAATTCCTCATGCTAAAAGCCTCAGAGTCACTGTTCTCCCTCATCTTTTTCTTATAATTCACCTCCAGTCTCACCACATTGTCACTACCCAGATCTATGCCACCAGCAGTCTCTTCTGAATTATTCCAACAGCGTATGGCTGGCTTCTCTGCATTTCCTTTTCCTTAACACCACCATAGTCATTTTCAATGTAGTAACTGGAGGGATTTTTTTAAAAAGTAAGACAGGTAATGCTACAACTCTCTCTGCTGAAGCACTAAAGAGGTGCCCTATTTTGTTGAGGGTAAAGCCAAAATCTGTTCAAGCCTCCACATAGTTTGGCCTCTGGACTATAATCTTTCTGATTTCATCTTCAATTATCTCCCCCTGTCTAACTCCGCTCTTTATCTTCTCTTTGATTTTCTTTGATTCCTCAAGTGCACAAGGTCCTTGCATTAGTTGTTCCTCTATCTGGAGTGCTCTTCTTTCCAGATAACTGTATGGTTAAGTCTCATCTTTCTCCAGCCATTGGCTCAAAATATACATTTTCAATGACATCAACCCTGAGCACCCTATTTTAAATTATGACTTGATTCTTGCCTTCACATTCCATCTCTCTATCCTGCTGTATTTTTCTATTGCTCTGATCAAAATATATAATTAACTCATTTTAAGTTTTGTCTGATCTCTCACCCTAGAATAAAGGTCCTAAAGGAAACAGATCTTTGTTTTGTTCACCAAAATCAAAGGTTCTCATATTTTATTGTACAACAGAGTCACCTGGAGGACTTATTAAATCATACATTGCTGGACCCTACTACCAGAGTTCTTACTCAAAATTATTTTGTGGGGCCCGATAATTTGCATTTCTCTTAATCTCCTATGTGGTACTAATGATGTTGGTACAGGGACCACACTTGGAAAACCACTGACCCAAAACATTCCAGGCACATGACAAATGCATAATGAAAGCCTGCTGAATAAATGAAGTTATATCTTATTTTAATTTATATTTTTGAGTACTGTTGGGATTGAATACTTCTAATATGCCAATTTGCTCTTCACGCTTCTTTGTAAATTCCCTATGCATGGCCATTATCTCTTTCTTATTAGGGTGTTTATCATTATTTATTGATGATAGTTTTATTTGCCACATTTTCAGAAAATGTATTTCTTGTTTTGGCTTCTGTCAATTAATATTGTTTATGATTTTTATGATGGCACTTTTTAATTTATGCCATCAGAATTACATATTAATATGTATAAATTTTCACTTTACATGACTTTATATCTTAGCCATTCCCAAGCTAAGATTAGGTACATATTTACCAACATTTTCTTTTAGTTTCTTTATGCCTTTTCATTTTTAATTCAACTCCTTAATTTACATCCTATTTCATATACAGTGCTTGAAACGTCCATTAATCTAGCTTTCTTTGTATAAGACAAAAATTGAAAGTTACATTATTATACCTTTATGGTAGCTTTTGCTGGTATGTGGGGCATTTTTTTCTTTATTTTTGTTTGTATAATTTTAAGGCATACAAGAGAAGCTTTGTTACGTGGATATATCAGAGAGTGGTTTTTGGGCTTTTAGTGTGACCATCACCTGAATAATGTACATAGTCATAAATTCTTTGCCCAGACCACTGTCCAGAAGAATTTCCTTAGGTGTTCTAGTATTTTTATGGTTTCAGATCTTGTATTTAAGTCTTTAATCCACCTTGAGTTGATTTTTGCATGTGGTGAAAGATAGAGGTCCAGTTTCATTCTTCTGCATATGGTAATCCACTTTTCTCAGCACTATTTATTGAAAAGGTGTAGTTTTCCCGTTAATGGCAAAAACCATAATTACTTTTGCACCAGCCTAATATGTTTTTGCCAATTTTGTCAAAGATCAATTGGTTGTAGATATGTGGCTTTATTTTGGGGTTCTTTATATTCCATTGATATATGTCTACTTTTATAACAGTACAATGCTGTTTTGGTTACGATAGCCTTGTACAACTTGAAGACAGGTAATTTGATACCTTTAGCTTTGTTCTTTTGCTTAGAATTGCTTTGGCTATGCAGGCAGGCTTTTTTTGTTTGTTTCTATGTGAATTTTTAGTATTGTTTTCTCTAATATTTTGAAGAATGATGGGTTTTTGATAGAGGTTACTTTAAAATTGTAGATTGCCTTGGACAGTGTGGTCATTTTACTAATATTATTTCTTCTAATTTATAAGCACAGGGTGTTTTTCCCTTGTGTCATCTACAATTTTCTTCATCACTATTTTTTACTGTTTCTTGTGAAGATCTTTCAATTCCCTGGTTAAATATATATCTTGGAATTTTTTTGTAGCTATTGTAATTGGGATTGAATTTTTAATTTGATTCTCAGCTTATTAGTAGTGTGTAGATATGATATTAATTTTGTAAATTTTATATCCTGAAATTTTGCTGATTTATCATATTTAAGAGTGTTTTGGAGGAGTCTTTGGAGTTTTCTAGGTATAAGATTATATCATCAGCAAACAGATAATTTGACTTTCTCTTTTCTTTTTTTTGGGGGGGACGGAGTCTCGCTCTGTCGCCCAGGCAGGAGTGCAGTGGCACAGTCTCTGCTCACTGCAAGCTCCGCCTCCCGGGTTCACACCATTCTCCTGCCTCAGGCTCCAAAGTAGCTGGGACTACAGGCGCCCGCCATTACGTCAGGCTAATTTTTTATATTTTTAGTAGAGACAGGGTTTCACCTGTGTAGCCAGGATGGTCTCAATCTCCTGACCTTGTGATCCACCTGCCTCGGCCTCCCAAAGTGCTGGGATTACAGGCATGAGCCACCACGCCTGGCCGACTTTCTCTTTTCTAATTTGGATGCCTTTTATTTATTTATTTTTCATTTGCCTGATTGCTCTGGCTGGAATTTCCAGTACTATGTTGAATAGAAGTGGTGAAAATTGTCCAGTTTGTAGGAGGAATGCTTTCAGCTTTTCCCTCTTTCAGGAAAAATGATGTTGGCTGTGCGTTTGTCATATATGGCCTTTGCTATTTAAAGTTACATTCCTTTTATGCCTAGTTTTTTGAGGGTTTTTTTTTTTTTATCATGAAAGGATACTGAATTTTGTCAAATGCTTTTTCTGCATCTATTGATATGATCACATGGTTTTTGCTTATACTTCTGCTTTGTGATGAATCACATTTATTTATTTGTGTATGTTGTACCATCCTTGCATCCCTAAAATACAAAAAAGCTTGCCGTGGTGTATAACATGTTATTATTATTATTTTTTTGACGTGTTGTTGGATTTGGTTTGCTAGTATTTTGTTCAGGATTTTTGCATCTGTGTTCATCAGAGATATTGGTCCGTAGTTCTCTTTATTTGTTTGGCTTTGGTATCAGGGTGCTACTCACTTTGGAGAATGAATTAGGAAGGATTCCCTTCTCTTCAGTTTTTTGGAATGTTTTCAGTACTATTG